AAGTAGACTCAAGTTTTCAACTTGCATCTACTTGCCCAGGGCTTTAAACTATAAAATTATTATACTTTTTAGATTTCTGGAGGTATGCACATATATGGTTGCTATGCCCCTGGTCTGGCAATGATTGTGTTAATCTTGACTGCCCTAAAGGGTAACTTGATTTAGTAACTGTCCCCAATAGATTTTTCAGAATCCAGGATTTAGCTTATTTGAAGGCTGGGATTTGGGATTTTTAAGGAGAAGGGAGACAAGTTTCGGGATTGTAACTATGATCATGATACAGGATAGAAACCAAGATCTGGAAATTCCGGAGATGAAAATGTATAAAGAAAATTATGCTGCCACCCTTAGTTAATGTCGGAAATAGCCAAACAATGATCTAGTCGACTTACACAACTTTACATCCACATTTTCCACAATACAAGACTCTGTCACATACCCTTAAGTACACCTCAGACTGTTAAAAACAAAATCGCTCAATTCAAACGGCTGACAGTTGTTACAGAAGCACTAGGACAACATAAAAAGGACACCACTTAGAGACTCAGAGGTTTCAAAACTGTATCGTATCTTCTCAAAGGAAAACAGAAATAGTTTTCATTCGAATTTTATATCTATACAGACTCTTATTTTATAGAACTCCATACGATCTCCTACACTGTATAGTACGCTTTGGTCACTGTGTTGATTTAGTAATCATTTTGAGCTGATATATATATGCAGCACAGGTTAAACCAGGGTCAAAAAGAGTATAAGTTAAAGTACTCTGTTAATTAAGTAAAAACATACTTGATTTTATGTAATTTCCAGATGAGTGTTGTAATGGCTGAAAATTGTGAATGAGAAAACTGTCTTCTGAGTTACGATTGATCCTGACTTGCGTTATATGTTATGAACTGTGAATTTACCGTGCCACATTGTGATATATACTCATATTGCTCTTCTTTGACTGCTATCAATCATCCTCGACAGACATGTTTGTCAGGGATCAAAGTGATCCGGAAGGCAGGCATTGCCAAACAAAAGAGGCAAAACAGAAAAATAAAAATAAAAAATGAAATGAAATGAGCTATAAAAGGCCATAAAAATGACTGATTCACTGACACAACTCGTTTAAGGAAAACTAGTCATGAAGAACAAATGAACGAGATCATCATTTAATTCCAGAGAGATACAGCTAATAGTCAGAGCTTGGGTCTGCTGAGAG